CATCATAATTAACAGTTACTAGAAAGATAGTTTGAAAAATGTAATTCTTTGTAATTGCATTTAATAACAAGTAAATCTTGGTTATAACTGTGTTCATTGAGGCACTCCTCCTCTCTTGGGCAGCTATTGCAGTTGAAGTTAAAATAAACCCATTCCCCTCTATTCTCACATTTTTTGGCTCTGAGCTTTGCTATTAATGACATAGACAAATAATTTCCAGGTTAAATTTTATTATTTGAAGTTTTCTGATTCTAATGTGTTTGACTCCAGACACTTCAAGGGAGGCTGATACAGCCGTTACTACTAATACGCTTTGCAGAAAGACTTTCGTGTTATTCTGGGAGAGGGCGTTGGGAACCTGGTTTGATTGAAGTGCCTACAAGGACACAAGGGTTACTGTAAGTTTTGACTGATTTCTGTAGATATTCTGAGGACATAGTGCAAGATTATTACTCTTTGCAATACCTCTCTGGAGAGTGTGTTAAAAAAAAAAAAAAAGGCCCTAGCATTTAGATAGAGTACTAAGAAAAACTAGTTTTAAAAAGGCACATTGTTATATATCATGCAGTCTTGTCTGAAATTGGTACACTGGTGATATTTGTTTATCTACTAAACAAAATCATAGATACTTCGTTCCTCTCTGACCACTAGAAGATATTTTTGACTTGTTTTTGTGCTTATTGCACATATAGGGACTCAAAAAAACAGGCTTCATGGGTCGTTTGCTGGAAGCCTGTTCACAAAGGACCTGCACAACATGAAGTCCTTTTAACTCCCAGGAGTGCCTCAACAAACACAGTGGGCACCCACCCAGTGTAAATTATCTATTAATAAACAATATTTATTTATAAACTGATCAACCATAGCATCTTTTTATAGACTATACTAAGAAAAGTAAATTAAAACAGGTAATTATCTATATTAACATCTGTGCAATAGTATACTTATAAAGAATTTTTAGTTAACATACAGATTGCCATCAGGAAAGCAAGTCAACAGCAGCAGCAGATGGCTGCATTTTGGTTTAAATTCTCCTTACATTAAAAAAAAAAAAAAAAAGCCAACAGGTGCTGCAGAGTAGCAATGAGTGGCCTCTTTGCCCCTCACCTCCATTTCCCTGTAGGACTCAAACAATCACTTCAGTGATAGCAAGACACAGGGATCTTAATTTTCATTCAAAAGTAGGAAGCATGAAGGTGGCTTTTGACTGTAGAATCAGCCTCATGGTTCCTGATGGACTTTCAGCCTTAGGCCAAACTCTAAGGATGAAATGAGCTGTATCCCAGCCCTGCTTTCCTGCGTGACATTAGCCCGGTCCCTAAAGCATCTTGCTGCTTCAGCTCATAGAACTGTAAGTTAAAAAAAAGCTGTTTGAGAGGAATGCAGAGAGGCTAAATTCATCAGCACTTTGAAATGAACTTGCAGTACTAAGCACTGGTATTTTCATTGCAAAATGAGGCCTTTTGCTGGGAAGCATCAATGCAACAGGATCATCTACTGACAGGCTCGTCAGCACTTTTAGTTAGGCTGGAGTACTAGAACATGCATTTGGCTAAACTGTTTAAACAGAATATATCACTTACCACAAATTTTCTATGCTACTGTAACTACAGAAATTGTCCTTCAAAAGCCAAACATGCCTACCTGATCTGAAGGTAGTACAGAGTATGTCTGCTGTTCTGTTTCTCTAAAATCTAGAGAATTACGCTGATTCTTCTGCCTGAGGATTCCACCTAATAATAACAACATGTTTTTCTACACTGTGACTTGATTTTGTCTGCATACATTTCCATTCCACTGTCATTCATAGCTGCTTTTAACTTAAGCAAAAAAGCAAGATTTGATTTCAGCTAAGATCAGACGTATCAAATTCAACTAAAAAAAGTGTTGGGGAGGGGAAAGGAAGGGCATTTTGGCTGGGGAGAAAACTGAGAAGAAGGGACTGTAAACAGAGTAAAGTGGAAATTTTATCTGAGCCGTAACAATATCTATGCTGCAGCAGCAGCAGCAGCTAGCAGGCACAACTTTCTGGACCTAATCCCTTCAACCGTTAGTTTTTCATCCGTACGCTCTGCTGTGCGCTGGGGAGAGAGGGAGAGATCGGGATTGCTGCTGCGGCTGCACAGACCATGCCAGGAACCTCTTGGTACACTGGCTGCATCACCGCGTCCCAGCCCAAGTGAGCTCATGAGGCTCAGCTGGCCTCGGAGAGGTAACACAGACACGTAATGAACACAACTGTCACGGAAAGTCTAAGAGGGACGCTTGTTCCACGGACTGCCCGGACAATGAAGAATTGGCGTGCCACCCCCTCTCTCGCCCCCCAGCCGATGCCAAGGCGGGCGGGCGGCCGCCGACAGATGAATAGCAGGTCTGTTCCAGCAGCTGCGCGTCCCGGTCCAGCGAAGAGAGAGTCTCCGGGAGCGTAGAGTACTCCGCTCCGTGCACGGTCTGCAGAGGAAGAGACCTGGGGGCAAAAGGATGGCCTCGGAAGGGGAGAGCATCAATCTTCAAGTGAGTCCATCTTGGGGAAATACCCATGGGAGGGAGAAGTGGGAGGGGAGATCCCCAATTTGGGGGAAATATCCACCGTTCCTATCATTTGCTCCTCAGCTCTGGCAGCCAATTTCACTTGAAAATTCAGTACTGCTTTTTTCCTCTGTTCTCCTTTGAAGAAAAGCTAGTGGCAGGATCGCTGCCCTGTTCTGCCAGGAGGAGTTATGAGCCTTTTTCCAAAAAAGTGAGGGTAAGAAGAGGCGTATTACTAAAAAGAGCCGCTTTTTGGGGGAAGAAGTTAGCCTTCAGGTCTCAGAAGGAGGCAGCACATACTTTACAAGCTGCAAAAATCAGCCGTTCCTCATCTCACAAAGCCTTTCTCTGTTTGGCAGAAAATGCTCCCAATCTGGAGAGGAGGAAAAGAAATAAATACAGCAAATGCTGAGGGAACACAGAGGCCAGGGTTTCCTATGCAGGGTTTATAGAGAAACAAAACTTCTTGGTGAAGCTCTTTCAGTTCTCTGTGTTCCTCTTCTGAGCGCTTGTGTTTTTTAAGAAGGGTGTTTTTTGTGCACAGCATGTGTTCTAGGAAAGGGCAACTACCCAAGGGTTTGGAAAAAGAAACTATTAGAGATGAAATGGAATCAAAACCCCAGATCACAAACACCCGTCAAACTTCGGAAGTTCAAGTCTAGATCCGCACTTCAGACAACTCTGGAGAAGGGGAGAATATGAAGCATTGCCCTGGGGCACAGCCTCCAGCCCTGGGAAGGTCAGCAGCAGGGTCCAAATTTTGCAGCTGATTTTTCTGTTTGTAATGCTCTTAACCATCCTCAGACTTGAAAATGGGGAAATCCACCTGGGGGCTCAATTTTTATTTCCTTGGCCTATGTCAAAGAAATTCAAATGGAAAGATTTGTGCCCTTGGAAATAATCAGGACAATTATCCTTAACTAGAAAGAAGGACCAAGACTCCCTGATCCTGCAGAATATAACTCTGCTGAGATACAAGGTGCAGAGCAGTTTTTTAAGACCTGGGAGCAGTTATGCTCAGATAAGAGACACGATAACTGAGGAAGATACACAGGTAGCTGTGACAGTTGGTGAAAATGTACTCTATATAGGACTGAAAAAGAGAAAGGTTAGGCTTTCCTAGAACTAGATAATAGGGGAAAAAATATAGAAATCACTAAGCCAGGAACTGGGGGCAAAGGGCAAACAGAACAAGAAAATTACACCAAATAAAAAGTCAGATTAACTCCTTGTATATTAGATCTTTCCAGGCAATGGAAAGTTTTGGGTCTATAGTGGATTTGAAGCCCAGGTTTCATAGATGAAAAAAATCAGCTTCACTGATTAAAATGCTCATAAACTTCTGAAAAACCTGGATTTTAGATTTTTCTCTTTCAACCCAAGAGAAAGAGCCAAAAGTGATCCTCAGCATCTTCAGCCTTTACAATACTCAAATAAATAAGCCAAAAGAGCCAAAGGTTCCTTGAGTTACAAAATTGAAAGGAGCATACCTACCTGTTTCTAGAGCAGGAAGGTGCGGAGTGTTTCTATCCACCTCTACACAGGTTGCCACAAGAAAAATCATGCTACTGAGATTTTCTTTGCGACACCTTACAGGGATTTCATGAAGCCACCAGATAGTACAAAATATAGGTGAATGCACACAGGTTCCTGCATGCTTACGGTCAGGAAATATACAGTGCTTGCAGGGGAGGGAGTGTTACGTACGACCACGTAGCTGAGACAAGCAGAGGGTCCCGGCATGACGTGACCTGAGAAGTGTGAGGTGAGGAAAGGAGTGATCAGTGGAAGAAAAAGAAAAATGTTTCAGCTGAAAATACATTTAAAAGCCTCTTTTGAGTCCCTGCTCTGTGCACCGAACGCAGAGCAGGTGTCTTCTTGGAAGTTTCTAGCTGTGGGTTTATGAAGAGCTTGTGGAAATGTGCACTGCATGCTCTGGGGTGGTAACGCATGACTCACTTCTCCTCAAAGAGCTCCTGGATGGAGTAGCATGAACAGTCATGAAAGTTAACTACGATACAATACAGAAATAGGAATTTTTATTTATAGGGAGGGGGTCCTGTACCTGAAGCACTTGCACAGTACCTACTAGCATTTCTTATACAACATTTACATAGCCAGGCTTGACAGGTAACAAGAGAATGAAAACAATATGGGCCTCTGGCCTAGCATAGGAGGGAGCTAGACAAGGCAATCAAGATTTGAGAAGGTTCTAAGGGAACTGATCAGCCCCCAACCTTTTTGCTCCTCCTAAAGCATGAGAACAGGAGCTCACTCAGCAAAATTTTAAGTCTCCTTAACAGGAGACACTCCCTCACCCAGCGTGTCATCAGCGTGTGGAATTTGCCATCTCCTGGAACTGGTCAGAAGGTCAAATATTGGAGCAAGCATTGAGAGGTCGGGAAGTCCAGTAACAATATTTACAGTTATGCAAGCTAAAAAAGGGACTCTCAAATCCCATAAGCCAATAGCAGGACAAAAATAAATACCCTTTTCAGTTCCCTATAGGCAATGGCACAATTGCTGACCAGCCTGCAAGTGGTGTCTTGCATTAGAGAAGTTACACACCAACTGTCCATAAGTGAGATCTAGGACTGCTTTTTAACAGCAAGAAGTATCTCCCATTAATCTTTTTCCTCCCTCACAAAAATTCTCTTGTTCTGTGTGTTTCAAAGGAGTCTGTTTTCCAGTTCTGACTTCTAGGAAGACTAACAAAACCTCAAACTACACACAGAGAGATGCTGAAAGGAAATGGTGCTGAAATAAATAGAAAAAACACCACAAGGCTGTAGAGCAGCCTCACCAGATCTATGCCAGCCAGCCAAGTGCTAAGGCAAAAGACAAAACTTGAATTAAAATCTTCTAATTAAAAAGATTAATTTACCTATTAAAAGATGAAAATTTAACATGACTTAATTTGAATGATGCATTTTTCTTCCCAGACGTCTCTATTTGTGGCTTCCAAGTGTAACTTTCACCTTCCCCTATTAAGCATCTGCCATTGACAAGAAACCAGGCAGGCAGACCAGTAACTCGATGAGACACAACAGAGTATATCCTGAGATAGCTGGGATCAGAAAACCACATTTGGGAAAGAAACAAATAAAATGACCCAACAAGATCCCATCACCAATTTCTTTTTACTTCAGGAAACAAAGGTTTATAAATTAGAAGAGAAGTATGGCTTTGATAATCACACTCTGGCTGATTTATCTGCACGTCTTCATGCTATTATTCCCCCTGGCTCTCGCCTCCCACCCTTCCATAGAGATTTGCAGGGGGGGAAAGAGGGGGAGGGAGACATACAGGATGGTTCTTTTCAGCAGCAAAAGACCCATTAAATCTGTTTAGCTGTGTACCTCAGCTGCTGCAGTTCATGATCTGGCATCTTAACACAACCCTGTTTCATCGGTGATTTAAGCTAATGTACCAGAGTTTGAATGGGAGCGACTGAGACAACATCCGTTCCACCACTCCCACCGCAGCGGCAGTAACCAGGGGAGAGTCTGCGGACAGCTGAAATCAGTAACACTCACACATTATTGCCACAGCTAACTCTGTCAGAACCCCAGATGAATATTGCAGAGTGGAGCAAAGATTGGGGCTGATACTAAACAGCTCCAGAGTTTTATTTGGTTTGTATTTTTATATTTTCTTATTCATGAACGGGTGTTATGTTCTGTATAAATAGGAGTTTAAGGGATGTGTGCCGGATGAATGTCATCCATATTCGTGTTGCAAAAGAGGCTATATATTGTATGTTGCCTCTTTCTTTTTATAGTTTCTTACTCTTTGGATAAAAAAATTTACAATCTTCTGGGAGAGAAGCAAAAATAATACCTCACCATTTAGGGAATGATTCACACATCAAAAGTAAAAAGAGTAAACAGATAAAATAATCATTCTGGAAAACAGACCCTACACTGAAATTTTTTGGCAGAAGCTGTTTGGTGAATATTTTGAATGCAAAATACATCTGCAGAAATAAAGACAGGTTTACAAGCAACTTGCAAGGAAAAAAGATTTTAAATAATTGGGCAATTTACTTCCAGTGCTCAGTTTTTTACCAGATCTATAGCAGCAAGATTTTAGACAGGCAGATAAATAGCATTAACTATAGGCCTGACAGTGGGGACTTTTCCAAAATGCCCACAAAACAAATGGAAAGTCCCACTTACCACTGTAAATCCCATCTTCCACATCCCACTTTCAGTCTAGGTCTGATGAGGAGATGCAGCGAGTGTGTTCACAACTGGGTTAGACTTTTGGTTTTGTGTTTTTTTGTGGCTCTAACTTGTGCCTCGAGGCTGTGATGTGTGCACAAGTTCTTGGCTTGGGCACGTGTTTGCCTGCTTCTGCAGCAACAGCCAGCTTGTGCTTTCTAGCGCTGTAGGACCTTTACTCTCCTTCAGTGATTTCTTAGAATGGTGGCAGTCTGATGTCGCCAACCAAGCAGTGTCCCTGCCCCAGTGGGCTTCAGTAACATTATTTGGCTTCTGTAATTTGGGCTTGGATAATGACAGTCTGCATTGAGAGAGAGAAAGAGCCTTTCAGAAAGAAAATTGCAAGTGCTTCAGAAAGAGCCATTCCTGTGACATCCCTGTATGTTGTGTGCAACAGCCATCAAAAGTCTGAGGAACTTCTCTCACCATGTTTTTAACTAAACTAACCCAATTACTACAGCCCCTCAAACAGGATCCCACTCCCTGCTCCCAAGGGTGCACTCCGCTGCCTATGCCATTCATTTGACCCTGCTAAAGCTGGTTCAGAGAGCTAAACTCCAAGAAATCTAACCACTTTTTGGCAGGGTTAGTGTTCTGGTTTGCTGTCCTGCAGTGGTACTTGGGAGGATCAGACAACTGCCAATGACTAAGACTGCATGGCCATGAAAGCATGTTCAGGCAGCAGGATCTCTCCTTTCAGCAGCAGCTCCCCCTCACTGCAGATCGGTTAGGTGAAGGTCCAAGTCTGTGTGTAGCCAGTGG